ACACAGTTGCATTTTCTCCTGTTTGACTCAGTGTAGCTGATGATGGGTACAAAAGTAAATGAGCATTAATAAGTATTTCAAATTAAGTTGGTATAGATAATTACTCTCTTGTGCTGCAGCCTCAGAAGGAACCTCGCCTGCCAAATCAGAAATAACAGTAGCTGCTGAGAGGCAGTGTCTGCCTTCCATGTAGCGGCCCTAGAAAACACAAAAGCACAGACAACTACACACTCATTTCTCATCACTTCATCTAAAACAAACTACTGTGACAGGCATGGCAATTAAACCAGACATTAAAAATATGCTTCCGTACATCTGAACCATAAGAAAATACATTTTTTTTTAAAAAAAAGCAAGGTAAAGGTTTATTCTCTTTGAACAGAATAAACCTTTCAAGATTTATTCCTTTTAAGGCTTAATCTTGGATATTTCTATAGTAGCAAATAACTACAAAATATGAAGACTGACTCATCTTTATTCAAATAGAAAGTGAAGCTGTTGAAATGAGGAATGTCGTTTGGTGTCCGGGGTGGAGGTAGGCAGCATTAACCTGGTGTGTTTTATGTCTGCAGGAGAAATCGGAGCTCCTTGAAAAAGCACCAGGAGATAATGGAAACACCACACGGAGACTTGCTCGCTGTGTGGACGCAATATGAACCAGCGAGCCACTAATGCTGCTTAATTTTACCATGCTGTGTAAAGAGTGGAGAATAGATAAGAGGATAGCTTATCAAGTCAATATTTTTGGCTAACTGGGCCCTGTATAACGAAGTATTTCAACATATTCAGGGTATTTTTCTGTTATCTGAATTTACTTGGCCAGGCGATAAGGATAAGAGCTAAAAAACGAGGCTAGTTATCAACCCACAAAATGAATGCAGTGTCTCCTGCATTTGGTTTTCTAACCAGCGAACTAATCTAAAAGGGACATTTCACAGGTCACATGACTTTTGTTCCACAAAAGTCCCTATGACTGCTGCTTACTCCGGAGATGTTATCAAATGGTGATTAAGAAGCTATAAAGAACAAATAAAATCTAAAAACTGTGCCAGTAAAATCCAACACTTTTGCAAAAACAACAAAAGATGAATGTTGCAGCAATTTGTTAACAGTTAATCGTTAGCGCACAGAGCAGTAAAATAATCATTTTGTTTTTTAGTTGCCGAGTGGCTTCATAGTGCTGTTTATTTCTTAGGTGACAGCTGCACATTATAGCTCGGAAACTTAAAGTTTACTGACCTATAGCCTAATTAAGCCGATGTGCTTAGTTTTTTCGGAAGATCAAATAGGTACTCTGCAATTCAGTCCGTGTAAAAGAGACTTAGCAGCAGATTAGAATCAAGTATAACAACATTTATACATTTTCTAAATCAATAAATTAACATATGCATATTTCTGTGAGACTCAGTTTGAACTTTCAGTGGTCCTAGTAAGGGATGGCTTAAACTGGACATTATTCTCTCAGCTGCAGACTCAATACTGTTTAAGGGTTTGAGAAAAAAGACTAAATATAAAAACAGAAATGAAACATAGACTTGATATGATGTCACCAAGGGCAGTGTAGGGGTGCTGCTTTAGGATCAGACAGTAATGCTTACACAACAATGCAGCAGTTTTAAAACTGTTCCCTGTCAAAAGAAAATAATACATACAGTAAATCTGCATGTAAGAATCTATATTTATTACTGAATCAGAAACACAATGACTTTAGATGGTGATGAAAAACTTTAGACCAAACCTACTCTGCCTGCAGAGATCCAAGGAATTTTAGGAATGGTGACGCTATGTTCTGGAGAACTGACTGATCAGTAGACGGTGATTTTAGAGCTGTTGATCTCTAATGTGGAACTTAGCCTGCTCCAGACGACGTTACAGTATAAGCTACCATGACAAGTTACTCCGGTAAGAAGTGAAACACCTTTGTAGTGCAGAAAACTCAGGGTTAGTGCTGAAATTAGCTGGATAAGACACAATCTTTCTTCTTACTACAAGCTTCTGATCTGGCTGTGTGTGTACGCTATAGTATGTGATTTAGACTAAACCAGGACGCTAAAAAATTAGATTTTCATCTACACCATTTATAAATCAATAAATTAAGATGTCCTGCACGTGTCCAAAGCATCTCAATCTTGCCTCTCTAACTCAAACCTATATTATATTAATTTCTAATCATGTCCATACTGCTGATGAAAATCTGAGCAACTTCCACTCAGCACTGCCATCAGCTCCAAACACAGCAGGTCTCACTACCATCTTGTTAAACCTCCCTTTTTACTCTTGTTGCCATCATCTGTGACATTCTAAGTAACTCTTATGTGACATCTAGTGGTTGTGAATACTGCATGCAGCACTTTTAAAAGAAAAAGCATTTTATATAACATGCAGAATATCTTAGGTTGCAGATCAAATGTCTATAAACGACTTTAAACTGGCTATATGCTTACCTTAGTGATGTAATACTGGGATAGTGTAGCAGCATTTAGTGCCCACTCCATTGGAGTAAACTGATTTAACTGTAGCTGTCTCTGCAGGGTTGTGTGGCAGTAGGTAGCGGCACGCTCAGTTTGACCTGAGGGACAAAACTATAGTTACTACAAGTAATTTACATAGCAAATTAAGGGTCAGATGCATTTTCTTGTTGTTTCATCAGTGTAATTTTTTGTGTGCGTGTATTATCCTTAAACAATCTCATACTCACCCAGGTTTTTATAAACTTGAGCAAGGTAGTACATGGTATGGGTGTAGGCCAACTCAAACCTATACACAAGGAAAGCAGAGAGAGACAAAAGGACTAAATAAAAGCAAGGAAATAGCAATAACCTGGAAATCTGCTGTGGAAGTTACCTCTTAATCCTTTCCTGGTGAGTCAGCAGGCTCTCCTCAGCAGCAAAGTACTCTGTCATGTCAGTGGGAGGACTACCATCCTGAAAAAAGAAGGAATTAAATGATGAAGAGGATTTACCTATTGTGATTGCAGCAGCCATACTGTGGGGGCAGCATTACCTTCCTGAAAACTAATATTTCATTCAGTCCTCATTTTTTCAAAAATAAACTTTTATTCAGGAAATCAGCCTTGCCTCCTTCATGTAACGTTGATAGATGGATTCTGCAGTTTCGAGGAAGCCCTGTGCAGTCTCTGTCTCATCCCGGCCTGCCCAGAGGATACCCAGCTGGTTCTGAAAACACAAGGAGACAAGACATGAGCATCAAATGATCATGCATCGTCTGATGCTCCTACTATAGCGGTGTGACTCTTAAAAAAAATGTAGCAGTGCTTTATTTATAACGCTTCACAAACACTCTGATGGAGTGTTTTCAAAAATCATCCATAGCATTATAATCACATGTCACAGGGTTAATACATATTCTTATCAGTGATCATACCATAACTTCTGTATGTAGTGTCATTTTTATTTATTTATGCGTTTTAAATAGCAGCTTTGTATTATTGTAAGAAAGAAACGATCAACGTTACCCTAACGTGGATAAACAGGGACACATTCAGGGACGACACTCTGCATCTCTCCAGCAGCTTCATGCAGTTCATTAGGTGCTCCTGCCCGGCTGGAAGCTCCTCCGTGTCCACATGGTTGACGCCCAGGTAGTATTCCACAGCTCCGAGTTTTGCGGCCCGCAACCCGGCTGGTGAATCACCGCTGAAGCCCTGGCCGAACAGGTCCTCTCTCTGCCCGTCCACCGGCTGCTCTGTCGGCCGTTGGTCGCCGCTCTCTCCGCCGCCCTCCTCTTCACCTTCGCCCGCTTCAAAATTCTTGAGCGAGCAGTATATTTCTCTGAGAAGCTCCCTGGCTTTGTATTTAGAGCGGAAGGGGTCATTTTCTGGGTCGTTTCGTGACTCTATTTCTGTGAGATTTTGGGCGTTCGTGAATTTGTCGCAGATAGCTCTCCATTCGTTGCTGTTGAAGGACGCCATGTTGGTCCTCTTCGGCGTTCTGGCGCAGCTGCGTGCTTCTTGTTGCGTTGCTGCCATCTACCGGAGGTTGCTCTCTCTGGCCATGTGAGTTTCCTTCCTTTGAGTTATTCCTGTTTTACTCCATTAAAAGCATTGCTTGCCTACATTTCGGAGTTCTATTGCAGCTTTAGATTTTAATTACAGTTATGGTCAAATCAAAAGGTCACTTCACTTTAATCATTTTAAAAGAAACATGGATTTTGCTGTCACATTAGCACATTCACATGAGGTGAAACACAACTTTGCACTCCTGTTTATGGCCAACAAGAATAACACACATCAAGCATAATACATACAAAAGATCAATAAACAATAAACAGGCTCAAAGGGTTAATGCTGTCTTATTTTAATAAACAGCACTGTCATATGCAAAACTAGGATGGCAAGGGATCATTTTAGGGTGGCACATGCCACCAGTCTAGATCCGTTCCTGATGTAGGACTGCTTTCACCTATTTATGCAGGCGGTTTCTTAATGTTAAAAGGAAATGTTTCCTTCCCCATTGTCAACAAGTGCTTGCTCATAATGGTTCATTTGATTGCTGAGATTTTCTCCGCATTATTGTAGTCTTTATCATATAATATAAATTGCCTTGAGGGGTATGTTTTAATTTGGTACCAATAAAAATGGAACTAAAAGATCAGAGTGCCTCTTCAACCACTGGTTATTATAGTGCAAACAAGCTATTTGTTCAGCATTAAATATGGACAAAATGTTATTGCTTAATATAGTATATATCAACTGTTTTCACTGAAAGCCTTGGGTGTACATGTGAACAAAAAGTCATAAAGAATTCACGTAGTTATTCTGATTTGTACTTTCTATCTTTGCGGGAAAAAAAAGTGTCTTCTGTTTATTCAACAGTGGCAATGCTGAGTGTAAATACAGAGAGGTGACTTCTTGACTTTTCCATAGCAGAAATATCTGATGCAATTAAATGTCACTGGATCACCAAGAGTGACAGAGGACATGACTGAGACAAACAAAAAGTTCAAAGTCAAAGTAAAACAAACAAAACTCAGAAAATAAATCAATTTTGTCGTAGTCAGTTTATTTTAACAAACTTATAGAATCCAAATATTAATCAGGGAAAATAACGTGAATTATTCAGTGACAATAAATTAATGGGAATGACACATAAAAACACACAGTGCATGTTTGAAAAGCACCGGCAGAAGCAGCAGCTCCTCTTGTCTGGTCATGCCAGATGATAACCTAGCCAGTCTGAGTTTGTACCATGAATATACTGCTTTATAACGTGGACAGTTTCACCACATGAAAAGATGTAACTATTGATTTTGTTTTAAACATTTGTTTGAATGTATTTTGACACTTGTGGGAAGCTAGTTTGACAAGTTTCCCACAGATATACTCATATATACAATTTACAGAATAACTTCCAACTCAAAAGACAAACAGCTTAACCCCCGTGTGTTCTGAATTTAACAAAAAAAAAAAAAAAAAAACAACAAAAAAACCCCCCACACATTTCAAAAGCGTGACCTCAAGTTTGCCAATATTAGACAAATAATCGTTTGTTTTGTTTAAAAGTGTGCCAAAGCAAGTAGATCTTGGGTGCAAGACATCTTACTGTCAGGCTGCTTAGCCATGTGTACATTCTTCCACATTATATTTTGGTGCATCATATTGAATGTTGCCAAAAAAGTAAAAAATAAAAATTATAACAATTATTCACACCAATAGACCTTAATTTATAGAGCAAAGCATCAGTTTTTAATCCCTGTTTTTAATAAAGTGGCTGAAACTTAAGGTACAAATCATGATAACGTCAAGTTTGTTTTTTTACTAAAAAGAACGGAAGTGCAGCAGTTTACTAATTAGATAAGTTCAGAGACAAGATTTCAAGGTTTAGGTGAGTGTTGAAGCAGCACAGTGCCACTCTGGAGTCCATCTGCATCAGGGACTAAGAGCCCATCTTCTTCTCCATGCTGAAATACAGAAACGTAAGGCATTAATGTTTCTATTACCATATCTAATGTTGTTGGGGTTTTTTGTTTGCTAAAATCTAAAGCACTGCAGTTAAATGATGAAATACTGATCTGGGTTAAAGGTCACAGTGGGAAAATAGCCAAAGTAAACAAAAGCTGTACCCTCAGTCAGAATTTGAACCAGGGCTCTTGAATCAGAGTCCTGATATGTGACATCATGTGCACAGACTTTGCCAAAAACACAGTCCTCATATCTTGCAGAGTTATGATCTTCTATGAACGGGTGATTGAAAATTAGAATGTACTTTAAAAGAAACCAACCCCAGAACAGAAAAGTTTCTTACTTGTATTTGATGAGACGGCTACCCTGGATCAGTTGGGCTGACTCATTGGTCAAATGGCAAGCGAACAGTAGCCAGTTGCGAGGTTGCACTTTGTAGGCAAACCTCATGAACAGCAGCGAATAACAGCACAGAGCTGAGGAGAGAAACCATACATTTAATAGAACCATATTTTCTTATATACCTACTACAGCTCTAACGTTAAGTCTTTATATAAGACTCTTCGGCATCTTAACAGGAAAGCATGGAGATCAAAGAAAATCTTAAAACAAATCAAAAGACCAGTGCAGACATCACGGCTTCTCTCAAAGCCTTCTTAGTAGCCTTGAGATAAAAGAACCACTCACAAAATATATCAATACTAACTAGAAAATTATTAGAATATTGCATGTATACTGGATGTATCTGTGACCATCTTACCAAAGGTCATTCTACCACTGATAATTTCAGGGCTCTTCTTCATATCTGTGATGGCAGCGATAGGAAGACCCCAGTTTGCTACAGGACCCCAGAAATGCTGCAAAAAGTCACAACAGTCATGTCAATGTAGAGAAGATACAGTTACTAATAAATTACATCAAAAGGATAAAAGTAGAAAAAGGGAAAAGAAAAAATAAGCCTTAATCTATTAAACAAGACTTTTCGAACACCACAAGCAGGAGAAATAATCAAAACTAGCATAATTTTTTTTTCTTCAACCACTTTTTCTAAAGTGGGCTTTAACTCCTTCAAGCGTAAAATTCATTTTAATTTAACAAATGGACAGAAAATGCAAAAAAAAAAACAAAACAAAACAAAACAAAACCCCCCCCCCCAAAAAACAAAAAAAACAAAAAAAAAAAAAACCACCTTCTGCTGCACAAGGTAGCACAGACTCATTGTTTTAACTATATGTGAATCAGTCAAGCTTGTGCACTTAAAGCCAGACATAACCGTAAGATAAGGATCTAAAAACTCAGTGTCATATTTTTTAAGTTAACACTGTAAATGACATACAAGATCAATAAATAGTAAGGTACAGTTAAAACTACAGCCTGTCACAGAAAAGGATATACTAACAGAAAAGATGGTAACTTACTGTGCTGTTTGGCGTTTGTTTTATTTTTTTCAGTTCCACATAAAAAAAGAAAACAAATAAAGATAAGTCACAAAGACACGATGTCTTTCACACATCATTACAACTTCAAGTAGGTAGCAAATGTCAATATAATTTTGCATTTCTTAGTAAGGATATAATGAGCGAGGTAGCATTTTAACACCCGAATAATTCGGTGGCAGCTGCAAGTCCTTAACAAAAGTAAGCAGTAAAACTCGTTTGTGCAGACTGCCAACACACAGTAGTTTTGATTTAAAAGAACAGATATTGCACAAGTATACACCAGACGTCATAACGCTTGCCCATCGATGGTTTTAAAGTGTTAAAACAGGCAAAGCTCTTCAGATAACAGTGATAACAACTGTGTATATTTGTGACAAACGCAAACAATGCTGACCAAAGATGCAAAAATTTGGCCTTTACTCCAAATTTCAGACCTGTGGCTAATATGTGGCATGTAAACACACTTACACATTTACCAATATCTTGACAAGTAGCAGGAGCAGATTTCTCCGCCAGCTTTTGACGCAGATTCAGACTTTTAAAGCCGTTCACCACCATCTTAAGAAGCTAACGTTGTTTCACCGTCAGGGTTCGGCCCACTTTCTAGGTTACCTGTTTGTTTTAGTGGCTTCCTTATAAGTTAACAATCAAGCTGATAATGTGGAGAAAATACGGGAGACATGGTCGCTCTTGAAAACAAACCAACTTAAAACGAAGTAGAAATCTATGCATGAAGAGAGATATCAAAAGAAAAACAAACTGTTTAAAATGTTCATTAAAATTTTGTTATAACTTTAGTTAGGGCAGGTGAACGTTAGCTAACTCTGCATGACTAGCTTAGCTGCCGTGCTAACAGAGAAATGTTCCGGCTTCTGACACAGACCTCGTCAAGTAGTCCCTGAACTCCTTGCTCTTCAAGTGTTCAATAGCTTTCCGTGCAATCGTCCCTGCCATGGTTTCACGTTAGGCTGGTGTCTGTCTTGGGCGAGAAGAGCGATCTTTATGTTTCTTTCTGTCGGCTGAAGGGCGACTGGGAGATCCGCTCAGAGGACGGTCAAATTTCCAACCAATAACATTACGTTTTACGACGCTGACGTAAATACGTGGCTCGACCTCAAACGGCTGGGTGCTGCCCAGCATAACAACCAATCACTGGAGACCGGCACTCCTGTTAAAACCAACGCCCACTATGGCAAATAAATAAATAAATAAATAAATAAATAAATAAATAAATAAATAAATAAAAATTATAAGATCAGGTCAGAACTATTACTCCAGGTAAGGCGAAGTAACTAAAAAAGTGGTGAATGTGCCTTTCTTCAGTCCCGTGTAAAGGTTGGCTGACGCTTTAGGAATTGCTGGAAGACGGCATCTGACCTCTAGAACTTTAGACTACCAAAATATAGTTAGCAAAGATGTTGGTGTAAACATGTGTAAGTCAGAGAGGATATCAGAGACAGATATACTTTAGATGCTTCAACTTTTTCAGTTACAAAAAATAAGTATAACCTCCGGGGGGGGGGGGGGGGGCACGTTTTTGGCGACATCAGTTTATGAGGTAAACATGGAGGTAACTGAGTTTAGCGTTTACATTTTTATTTAGTACTGTTTCAAGGTGATATGCAGTAGAAGCCAGCTGTTTCTAATAAAAAAAAAGAAAAATAACGACATCTTCTTAGTTAGGAGTTTCATGATAAGACAGCTTCCTCTTCTCTGTGGAGATTTGGGTGAATGTAAAGTAACCAGAAGTAGTATAATGTGTAAGGCAGAATTCACAAACAGAATTCTTCCGAAATGGCTAAGGCTCACCTTTAACTGATTTTGAAACTACATCTGTCAGTATCTCCACAGGACTCTAGAACCAACGCTCTCAGTTCAGACACACACCTCCTCAAGAGGGATTGGATTATTTTGAATGATGTAGAAGTTCACACTGGAGTCACGTTGTAGAAGATCTAACCTGTATCTGATTTAGATGCATATGAAAGTAACGCTAATCAGAATTTAAAAAAGAAAAAAAATTGCAATATTCATGCTTGTATTTACCCCATACACCCCAGTCAAATATGTAAAAAAAAAATTGGTCACCTCCTTCATTGTGAATGCAGCCAAAGTTTGGGACAAGCCTAAATGTGTATTATATGTCTGCTGTAGACATATGGTTGTGTTATGATCTTGAATTATATAATTTTTCTTTTATTAATTAAGTGCATTTTCTTGAGATTAAACCGAATACATATGGAACAAGATGTTGCACTTGTCCACCAAACCCGGTTTTCATCTCTAGTTTAGTTTTAGCAATTTAGTTTTGAGCACAGAAAAATGAGCAGCAGCAGCCGTAATCAGGCAGTGTTTTGAAAACCTTCATAGCACATAGTGCTGGTGTGTTAAAATTGGTCCAGGATGACAAAAATGCACAGGTGTTGTTTTTAAAATATCCTAACGGAAACACATCCGCTGATTTCCATTTGAATTTAAATAACAGTTTTTATCTTTACTTGAATTTACGATCATAAAAAAAAATCACAATTCACATTAAAATATTTTTCTCTCATTAAAACCTCAAATCTGCTCTATCTGTCAAGATTTATGAGTCTGAATCCAGACATAAACTAATCTTTTGCAGTATTTTTGTTACACGTACATTAATGTAAAAAGCACACATGCTAATATTGTACATGCTGCACACATACTCTGATACTTTTCCTTTTCCTGTTTTTAATGTAATCATAATTAATTTGTTATCCGGGGTGGCTGTAGCTCAGGTGGCAGAGCAGGTCAGCCACTAATCAGAAGGTCGGTGGTTTGATCCCAGGCTGCCTCCTGCCTGCATGCCAAATATCCTTGGGCAAGATACTAACCCCGTGTTTGCCTACTGGTGGTGGTCAGAGGGCCCGGTGGCGCCAGTGTCCGGCAGCCTCGCCTCTGTCAGTGCGCCCCAGGGCAGCTGTAGCTACAATGTGGCTTGCCATCGCCTGTGTGTGAATGGGTGAATGACTGAATGTAGTGTGAAGCGCTTTGCGGTCCTTAGGGACTAGAAAAGAGCTATACAAATGCAGGCCATTTACCATTCATTTTCAGGGGCACCTTTGTACATAAACAAAGCAGAAATGGCATTGTCAATCACACATCAAACATAAGCTCCAGTTTGGTCAATGAACTCATTATTTGATGTGCACAGTGTATAGAATTAAAACAATTTGACTCATGGTATGTTAGTAATGCCAGCTTCCCACTGTGGGGGGGTCCTGCTGTTGTACATGCCGGATCATTGTCATGGCTTACTGAGAGACTGACTCGTGCTTTTCCTGCTGTGATGAGTCAGGGGACACTATCTGTTGTCTAGATTCATGATTAGGTTGGTGCACTCAAACAACACCAGGGGGCAGTATGTGAACATCATGATCTTAAAGCAAGAAAGTAAAGGTTAGAGAGTTTGCCATGAAAAATCAGATTCTGTGTACTTGTACCATGAAGAAATCCCCCCATAAATAATAATAAAAAAAATTGATAAAAAAAAAAAAATTAACTCAGTAATGAATTCTGATTTCAGAATGTTTGAATTAAATTTGAAGTCACTTTTGTTAAACCATTTACCCACTGTTAAGAGGTGCCACCTGGCTTCAGTTCTTGAATATTTTTGACATCATGGTCCATGGTTGAGTTACACCTCAGCATAGCTCTTGACCAACTGGAAGATCCCAATGACTTTAATGTCTGATCGAAGGCCCTCTGGAGACAGCACCTTGGTTTACTTTTTGTATAAAAGAGGAAACAAAATGCACTCACTATACCTGCTTAAGTATGAGTGGAGATATGGTGTAAGTCAAGAGAGTTAAGAAATTCCAAGGTAGATTCTCTTTTCACACATAAATTAGTATTAATATTGACATTGTACATGTTAAGGTGACTCTACCACACTGATTCTTGTCCTCCTCTGTAACAGTTTGAACAGTTTTTTCACAGTTTCTGAGAAATTACAAGAGGAAGCAACAGATAAATTATTGCTGTAAATGTAATAGGAACTATGTTTATGAAATTACAAGAGGAAGCAACAGATAAATTATTGCTGTAAATGTAATAGGAACTATGTTTATTTTTATTTTTTTAAAAACAGGCAGTGTTTTGAAGGCAAATCTTTTTGTCCTTTAAAGGTCTAATTCAAATAAAAAATGGGTTTTGGTACTTGAGAAGAATGTACATGCCCTCAAGTATTCACCCCAGACAGCTGCAATGCAATAACAGTTTCCTTCACCAGGAGAGATGTAGACCTTAGTGATGGGTCAGTCGCGAATGAAATGGCTCTTAGAGCCGTGGGGTTTTTTTGGGGGGGTTTTGGGGGGGTTTTTCCCCCCCTTTCTCTCACCCTCTCTCTCGCACTTTTTTTCCGCTTCACTCAGCATGGGAGCCTTGTGCTTTACGCTGGGAAGAGGGGGGAGAGGCGGTAGTTACACTCAGTAGCACAGGAACAGAGCAGGAGTGAGAGAGAGAGAAAGAGAGCCAGGGACAACAACGTCACATTAGAAAGGTATAGTAATCATCCACAACTATTTTCAGTTGCAGATGATAAAGGATTCAGAAAGTTAGTCATGCAGGTTCATATGACAGAGAATATGCATGTTCTTTTTGTTTTCACATTATAATTTATATTTAATTGTGTTATGGTTTGCAGTGTTTTGTGTGTTTCACTTTAAATTTATAAAAGGAAAAAGCTGAAAATTTAAATAGTTAAAAGTTGAAATGTGAATAGTTGATTTTTATATTATATGATTTATTTATTACATTTTATGTGGAGTGAATAAATAAAAGTATATTTACGGTGGCCCCTACAGACAAAGCACACACAAACTTCAAATCACGTACAAACCCTGAAGCACGTACAAACTCCAAAACAAGTAAAAACTCCAAAACACGTAAAAACACGTACAAACTCCAAAACACGTAAAAACTCAGAAGCACATAAAAACTCAAAACACGTACAAAAGACAACAGAAGTGCTCCAGGATGCTAAGGGCAGTGTTGAGTTTTTGTTACCTAGTGGCTACACAAGCCAGCAAGTACCAACGACCGGATTTGGTGTGTGGTAATAACAGGTAAATGAACTTTTTTTTTTATTATTATTTTTTGACTATATATATGAATGCTTGTGTATAAATACACAAACAATACACATATGCTTTCATGCTTTCAATTGTGTAATTTAAGTGATCTAGGTAGCTCTGTTTGGAAGTTCAGTTCATGCTAGAAATGTGTTTTGGAGTTTGTATGTGCTTTTTAGAGTTTATACATGTTTTCTCTCTAGGGGCCACTGCATATATTTATATATAAACATATATAAATAAAACCACTTTTTTTTAACATTAGTAATTCCTTTTGTGCATAATTTTATATTATTGTTAATAATAAATTAATTAAAGCAACAAAACAACCTGAAGAGCCGGTTCGGAGCTGAAAGAGCCGGCTCTTTTTAGTGAGCCGAACCGAAAGAGCCGGTTCTCTAAAAAGATCCGGAAATCTCATCACTAGTAGACCTTGAACTGGGAAGTATGAAGTATGCCTCAGGTTAAGTCAGTGGTTCCCAAAATTTTTGCTAAAAATGTTCGCCCCCCCCCCCCCTTCCGACGTGTGCACGCGCGCACGCACAAACACATCCTCCAACCACACACACACCCATATTTTGCTCCATTGCGGTTTCTTTCACACCTCAAACATTTAGTAAACAATTAAGCAAATGCAAGTAATCTGCAATAAATTATAGGTAGTAATAAAATAAACTACTAACTCTTTTAGGCTATGTCCACACCTACACGGGTATTTTCGAAAACGCAGCTGTTTTGTCCACATGTAAACGGCGTTTCGAATCACCGAAAACTGAGATTTTTTTAAAACTCCTTTTTTTCGTTTACGTGTGGACGAGGAATACAGAGTTCCTCGCAATGTCAAAGGTATGTGCCTTTTTTCACGTCATGCTGTGCACACGTTATTGTTTACATGAGATTAATTGCAGAATGGCAGAGACAAAATACTGTTAATCTGACTATCTTCAGGTTTTACACGCTTACATATACATGCAGTTA